AATAATAATAATAATAATAATAATACTGTACTGTAACGGGCCACGACCTCTCCTTTCAATTCTTTACCCAGCCATTCATCATTCATGATCGTCTCCCGATCTCATCCGATGCCTGCCCGTCCGCTGAAACGCTGCTGGTCCTCGCCAGCGCAGTGATCTTTTGCTCTGACCATACTACTCGACTCCATTCAAAGCCATACCTGGCGTCGTTACACATCCTCAGAATCAATTAACACACAAGGCTTGTATTCATAAGGTTCAAATTTCGAATCTCCAGCAGATTAGCGGCTGTTCTGACAATTTTGCGTTTCTTGAGTCTCGCAAGTGGATGCTGAGATTTACCTTGAAATAAACGACCAAATTCATGCCTACTCACAATTCAGGTTATCTTACAACATCAGATACTACATATCACTCTGCTCTTGACACGTTGTTAAACAACCTAAGAAGTAATATACGCCCTAATTTTTTTAATTAGCTTAGTGGGCGGTGGAGTCGAACTGGGTCCACACGCCACGGCGGCCACTGATTGGCCTATTGTAGCCTGCCCCGGGCGATTATGATGATGAATTTGGTGGAATGAAGATTGGCAGGGGAAACCGAAGTACTCGGAGAAAACCACTTTGTCCACCACAAATCCCACTTAACCAGACCCGGGATCGAACCCGGGCCGCCGCGGAGAGAAGCCAGCGACTAACCGCTTGAACTATGGCACGGCCAATCAACGCCCTAAGACCTGTAGCCCTATTTGGGAAGCAGCCGTTTCCATTCTGGCTATAGATTGTATTTTGTGCTTTTTCTCAGACTCTCCTACCGGCTTTCCTATTCACCATTATAATACCATTCAATTCTGTGTCTTATATCAAGTTGAGTTCTAAAATAATTCAAGAATTAATAATATACGTGATAGGTTGAGTGGCAGAAATGTTAGTAACGGCAAGCACTGTACAGCGTGACGTGGCCTTTGGTTTTCCTGGACAACTTGCCCAGTATTTGAACAGCCGAGACCGGAAGTGTTCAGAGCCCATGGTAGCGGCAGTGACTTCAGTGCCGTGTGCAGAGCTCAGTGCGGCACACAGAGCAACTAGACCAGAACATCTGACTCCCTCCGGTTGAAACAATTGTTATTCCTGTGGATCCCGCCCACTTGTCGGTTTTGCGTAAAGATGATTTTACGTGGGTCGTATTGAAAGTCATGAGCAACAGTTTTTTGTAAAGTAACATGCTTTATTATTGACAACCAAATACACCACCTCAATCTACAGACCTTTCTTTATTTCTCCACATAATCGCCACTTCTTTGTACACATTTCTCCCAGCGTTCTGGGAGTTTGAAAATTCCCCTTCTGT